TTGCACCTTTTCACAATATTCTAATTTTCTGAGATTGTGGATTTGGGGTTTTCATGAGCTGTAAGCCATAATCATCACAATTATGACAAATCACAGCTTGAACTATCTTGCTTTGCATGTAATGAGTCTATCTCATATATTAGTTCCACCTTTTAAGTTGAATTACTGAAATAAATGAACTTTTGAACGATATTCTAATTTGAGTTTCACCTGTATATACTGCATGTGAACACACAGTACCTAATGTCACTTTGTTGCTTCTTTTTTATCTGCCATGACAGCTAACATTGAATAAAAGACTGCAAGCAAAGTTAAATAAATATCCAAAATCTCTGTACTGGCTTCAGAACAATTATATACATGATTGTGAATACTATAAGTAGCTTTATCCCCACAAAGTAACTTAAGGATCTTTTGCGCAAATCAGTTGTTTCATGCCTACCTTAGAATTCTATATGCAAACCTACAAACATAGTAAAAAGATCTATAGCTTTTATTAGTGAGTAATATAATTTTATATATACTCAGATATATACAATGTACACATATATAATGAATATGTACTTTATATACAGTATGTGTGTGTTATAATGTTATATAATATAGTATTACAGTATAATTAAAACTAATGGTAATGTTATTAAAACTAACTTATTCTATGATCTAGTGATCTAAAACACTGGGAACTTTCAGACTAACTAGTAGAAAAAGAGGGAAATCATTCATTCCTTGCAGTTCAGAATGCAGGACGGGTTTTCTGACCGGCCTCTTGAAAACCTACTTTGCTGCCAAAGCCTGCCTTTGATTCTTGTTTTGGAATGTCAAACCATCAGATCAGCTTTTCAGATTCATAACCCCCTCCCTCGTTCTATTACAAAAGCTCCCCCACAACAATTACCATGCTTGTGACGGATAACATTTTTTGTACTCCGTATAAAACGTTTTAACGCTGTACAATCCATTACACATATATTGCTGAATTCCCTTTGAGTAATTATTCATTAGAAAACATTTAATGTCGCTGTGGATTTCACACTGGGCAGTCTGTGGACAAAGACTCAGGGTAAGCTCATTCTGTAGGTTCAAGACTGCTTCTTTTTCCCTAACTCTTGCTGTCTAATCTGAGAAAGTCCAAGATGAAGAGCCCGCCCTTCACAAGGTGGGGAGGGAGGGCTAAATTGTGCAGTTAACGGTCAAAGCACCCCCTGTGTGATCTGACACTCATTTCAAGATGATGGGAAACAATAGAGAATTGTTAGGAGCCTTCCCTTCTTATTTGCTGAAGACATAGGCCAAGAGAGAGACAGTTCAATACATGGGACAAGCTATTCCACCTGCCAATGATTTTCCCTCCCTCTTGCAGCTCCCACTCTTCCACTGAACCTCTCCTCTACCAAGTTTAACGAAAAGAGACAGGTGAAAACATTCATTAAAAGAACACCCTTCCGGGCGCCTAAGTGATTCAATTTACTGCTGCCTTCTGCTGTTTTGAAAACTTGTACAATAAGCATTCCTTGCTTGGGAACTTTTTACTACACTGGCATGTACCTCTAGTTTACGAGGCACGGGCTAACCAAAGTATACAGACCTATAAGCTACATTTATCGCGTGAAGTACCAAAAAAAGGAATATTATCTTATATACAGTATGTCTTGCCAGGTCTACAGTAAAAATTTATGTCAAAGCCATTTTAAGTGGAATTATCACTGCAGACAATAGGGTAGATGAAGGATGCCATCACACCCATACTTACCCATACCAAAACATTCTGAAGAAGGAAGGTTATGATTTAGTGCCATAGTTTTCATACACAAAACCTACCGCTTTGGTGCCATATTTTTCATACACAAAAAATCTCTAAGGAGCAGGGCCCTCCTATCCCTCTTGTATTGAACTGTATTGTTGCTGTATTGTCTCCCGTTATATTGCAAAGTGCTGAGCAAACTGTTGGTGCTATATAATTCCTGTATAATAATAATACCCTAGCTGCTTGTTTGATCATACTGTATATCAATACAGAAAGTTAGTGTAGAGTGTTGTACCGTGTTAACCCTAGATAGCAGCAGTAAAATAAAATTGTAGGCAATACCTTTCATGGGCTAATTGAATAATATTTGCTTAGCAAACATCCAAAAACTGTTTCCTGAAAAAGAAAAATTTAGTGAAAGTTTGCTCCTTAAAATAAATTCAGTTAGCCAGTGAAAGGTATTACCTACCTTTTTTCTTATCAAATATACAGATAGTGACACCTTGTCATCATTTTTGCTTTCCTAATACAGATAATGAAGAATGACCATTGATACTTTGTATGGGTCATAATAAAAATATAATGGTATTTTATATGTTCATTCTTATAAAAAGTTTCCTTTTTTTTATCTGGTAAGTTTAAAAGAAATGCCATAACTATTCATGCATTTATTGCTACAGATCCACACATCAGACATGTAGAACAACAATTGTTTTGAGTGTTGCTGTTTCGTAATTTCCTCTGTATATGGAGAGTGAATGATCTTATTAGCAGACCAGTGGGGATGAGCCTTGGCATTATGCGCAGTCAACGGACACCCATGGAATAGTGGATATGCATGACATGTGAAAATCTCTTGAGAGTCTGAAATTCGGTGTCAAATGATTCGATTTTATTCTATATGGCAACCTTAAGCTAATAAACATTTTGAGTAAAGTAGGAACAGATGGGTATCAAGGGAAAAAAAAGATAAAATTGAGACCTATGCACTATGCTCATTAGTTGCAACTTCTGTCCATGTTCTACCACAGTAGAAGTGTTACCATAATAGATAAGTGTTATACATGTGCTAGCTCGCATAAATTAGTATTTCATAGAAATTTTAGTACGGTAACTCATTTGTTGCAGCATTATTGTATTCTAAAATAATAAATCCTAATATTTTGGAGCCTACCAACCTCATATAGCCATGTAAAATTATATTTGTCTTTGACAATAACTTAAGGATATATTACAATGTGTTAAATAAGTAGTTTGCCAATTGAAAAAAGGTGTGTATTATTGTAATATAGATGGATCATCATTACAGAACATATATCAAGCACAATAAATTATCAGTTACAATGATTTGTAATGACAAGCAGTGCAAATTAAGCATATATTTCTGAGCTTTTCATTGCATGGGAACAAATTGTTAATGCCATCCTTGCAAATCTTTGTTCTCTCCATATGCCCAGTTAGCAAATTATTACATCCTTGTCCTTTTTATCAAACATTTATCAGACTGGATGCATGATATGCATGCATTTCAAGATATATATGCATATACACACACACACATACATTTTGCAATTTTGCATAACAGAAAAAAGTACACCAAGATTACCTGCTTCTCCATCTTCAAAGTAATTATGGAATTGTGGCTCCTTTGAAAAAATAGTTTGGTCTGTAATGTCCACTTTTGCACTCACTGCATGATATGTACGTTGTGCTCTCTTGTAGACCTCTTAATAATTCACACTGAAAGACAGAGGCTCAGCACAGTGGCTACATCCTTCTATAAAACTAGCCTGACTGCTATGTAGATAAGGAGAAGTAACTCTAGATTCTTCTCGATTGAGTTTCAGCCACTCTCAAGCCTTCATTAGGCCTGTTTCATTACAGAGTAATTACTCTAGCTTGGGAAGACAGGGAGAAACAGAGAAGGCTAGCAGTTTAAGTCACAAGTAGAACATATCCAAAGAACTAAATATTCTACCTAATTTTCAACAGCAAAAATATGTTAATATTTAAGTGATGATTCAAATCATATTCAGCAAAAAATAAATACACACACACACACACACATATAGATATATATATATATACACATACATACATACACACACACACACACACACACACACACACACACACACATAAAGATAATATACACTCACTGGTCACTTTATTAGGTACACCTTGCAAGTACTGGGTTGGACCCCCTTTTGCCTTCAGAACTGCCTTAATTCTTCATGGCATAGATTCAACAAGGTGTTGGAGACATTCCTCAGAGATTTTTGTCCATATTGACATGGTTTACTGTTGCCTTTCTAGCATCTCGAACCACTCTGCCCATTCTCCTCTAACCTCTGACACCAGCAAGGCATTTTCATCCACACAATTTGTGTTCCCAAGCAATTGAACAGGTGTACCTAATAAAGTGGGCGGTGAGTGTGTGTATATATATATATATATATATATATATATATATATATATATATATATATATATACACACATACACACACACACACACACACACACACACACACACACACACACACACACACAAACATACATACATACATACATACATACACTATATTGCCAAAAGTATTGGGACGACTGCCTTTGCACGCACATGAACTTTAATGGCATCCCAGTCTTAGTCTTTAGGGTTAAATATTGAGTTGGCCTACTCTTTGCAGCTATATCAGCTTCAACTCCTCTGGGAAGGCTGTCCACAAGGTTTAGGAGTGTGTCTACGGGAATGTTTTTTCTAGAAGCGCATTTATGAGGTCAGGTACTGATGTCAGGCGAGCAGGCCTGGTTCGCAGTTTCTGCTCTACTTCATCCCAAAGATGTTCTATTGGGTTGAGGTCAGGACTCTGTCCAGGCCAGTCAAGTTCCTCCACCCCAAACTCGCTCATCCATGTCTTTATAGACCTTGCTTTGTGCACTGGTGTGCAGTCATGTTGGAACAGGAAGGGGCCATCCCCAAACTGTTCCCACAAAGTTTTCAAGGATGAAATTGTCCGAAATGTCTTGATTTGCTGACGCCTTAAGAATCTCCTTCACTGGAACTAAGGTGTCAAACCCAACTGCTGAAAAACAACCCCACACTATAACCTCCCTCCACCAAACTTTACACTTGGCACAATGCAGTCAGGCAAGTACCGTTCTTCTGGCAATCGCCAAACCCAGACACATGCATCGGATTGCCAGACTGAGAAATGTGATTCATCAATCCAGAGAACACGTCTCCATGGCTCTAGAATCCAGCGGTGGCATGCTTTACACCACTGAATCTGATGATTTGCATTGCACTTGGTGATGTAAGGCTTGGATGCGGCTGCTTGGCAATGGAAACCCATTCCATGAAGCTCTGTATGCACTGTTGGTGTGCTAATCTGAAGGCCACACAAAGTTTGGAGGTCTTTAGCTATTGACTCTGCAGATAGTTGGTGACTTCTGCGCACTGGGCACTTCAGCATGCGCTCACCCCACTCTGTCATTTTATGTGGCCTACCACCTTGTTGCTGAGTTGCTGTTGTTCCCAGTTGCTTCCACTTTGTTTTATTACCACTAACAGTTGACCATGGAATATTTAGTAGCAAGCACATTTCACAGATGGACTTATTGCACAGGTGGCAAGCTATCACGGTACCATGCTTAAATTTACTGAGCTCCTGAGAGCGACTCATTCTTTCACAAATGTTTGTAGACGCAGTCTGTATGCCTAGGTGCTTGATTGGAACACCTGAATCCAATGATTTGGAGGGGCGTCCCAATACTTTTGACAATGTAGTGTGTGTATATATATATATATATATATATATATATATATATATATATACATACATACATACATACATACATACATATACACACATAAAGAGATTATCTGCACACACAAGGTGTTTCCTGAAATGGCACCAGCAGCATCTTGAGTGCGGGAAAATGCCCAGAATGTTACACGAAGCATATTTTCAGCCTCTCACCCATCCATGTGTATGGGAACTAAATGAAAATTTACTTTCCTCTTTACCTTTGCATGTCCTCAGTATTAAATTGTACATTGACCATAAACGCAACAACACAAGCAGGGAACAAAGAACAAAGTCAATCTATACGCAATTTATATAGTTACTGCAAAAGAAAATTCCAGGAAATCATGGGGACAGCTAATCCTGCACACTCTCCCACTTGCATACTGGCAGTGGGTCTTGCTACTCTTGGCTCCATTTATTTATTACAGATACTTATTTAGCGCCATCAATTTACACAGTGCTCTACATATATATTCTACATTCACATCAGTCCCTAACCCTCAAGGGGAATACAATCTACAGTCCCTAACTCACATTCATACATACACATACACGGGCCAATTTAGACAGGATCCAATTAACCTACCAGCATGTCTTTGGAGTGTGGGAGGAAACCGGAGTACCCAGAGGAAACCCACGCAGGGAGAGGGAGAACATGCAAATTCCAGGCAGGAGATGCCATGGCTGCGATTCAAACCAACGGCCCTATTACTGCCAGGCGGAAGTGCTAACCATTTAGCCACTGTGCTGCCCATTTACTTTTCAAAGAGGACCAAGAGCTCCTACACATTGTCACACTGCTAGAAATCCACTCGGGGACATCAAGCTCCTAGAAGGGGATTACTTTATGACTTTACTAAGGACTGTAATGGTTCCACTGGAACACAGTCAAGTGTCTGTCATTTTTTTTTACTAAGTATGTCAGAGCAGGAAACATCCTCATCATTGTGTTTCTTCCATAAAATTTGGCATTCCATAACCTCTTTACCCTATCCAAGCTTAATCCCTTAATAAAACAACAACAAAAAAGAAAAGTCCATGGACTGTTTACTGACTTTGGATGCAAGTGAGGAAAATGTGTGTTGCCTGGCTGTGCTGAACTTAAGGGGGACCCAAAACCTCTGTGACCCTCAAGAGGGTAGCGCTACATTTAAAAGAATAAGGAATCAAATGTAGCCTTATAGAGCTGATTAGTGGAAAACTCTATAACCTCTGCTCTCTAATCCTTTTTAATTGGATTTAGTATGCAAGTATTATGTTTCCACTAATACCAGACACCTATTTAGTCAATTTTATTCAATAGATACACTGTAATATTCAGAACAGTTTACCTACTGACAACTAGATTTGTGTATCTACAATATACAATTTTTTGTACACACACAACTATAAAGTGTAAACTGAAAGGGGTTTCTGAGTTAATAATGCATATTACGTGGCATCCAATGTCACTCGCCTTGCCCTTGTTTCAGACGCAGCATCAAAGTTTTAGAATGCAGGAACATGGGAAAGGCTTCATGTTTACAAGTTATAGGTTTACTATTTCATGTTGAAGTGTAATTACTATACACTAGTCCTAATACTATAAAAAGAAGATTTGTCATTTTTATTTCAGCCTTCATGGTTATCTTAGAGTTTTCTAAAAAATTCAAGATGTAAATATGTAATTGCATGTATTTACTGTACCAGGGAAAGGTAAATGGAAAGTCAGTGTGGCTGACAGGTCACGTTGAACAAGTAACAGATCATGTTCTGAAACTAAATGACTGAGCCAGAACATATTTAAAGGGAAACTATAATGTCTGGAGTTATTTTTTACCTTTTTAAACTGTATATAAACTACTTAGGCTGCTTTCATACTGATCTGTTTTGCTTCCGCTTTTGCATTAAAAAAAACAGAAGAAAATCACAAGACCAATAAATTCTACGCTTGCTGCACTTTTGGTGCATGTTTGGTGTGAGATAGAAAAATAAAGTACCAAAACCACCACACCTCTCCATTAAAATAAATGGAAAACACATTAAACTCTTGGCAGAAAAGCACCCGCAGTTGTGTTTTTGGTGCGTTTTTGAGTCACATGTCCTTTTTTCATGGTGCAAAACATGGCAAAAATGCATATGAAGGTGCTTTTTTGCCAAGTTTTTAATGTGTTTTCCATTCATTTTAATGGGGATGTGCGGTTTTGGTACAACTGCACCTGTAATTGCATTTTTGAGTCACATGTCCTTTTTTCATGGTGCAAAACATGGCACAAATGCAGCAAAAAATGCATATGCGTTTTTACCGCGTTTTTGCAAGTAGCAGTGTGATAGTAGCCTTACTTGATATAAAAAATATCTTTATTTTACAAATAAAAAATAATTCATGTAGAGTATACAAAACTATGGGTTTCCTATGAGAGAGTATAATTAAAGCTATTTTCCTGTGCACTCTTTGTGACTGAAAGACTATCAGGAGTGTGGGTAACACTACAGATCAACCACGTCTTTTTACCACCCCCGCATGTATGAATGAGCCCTTATTGTTTGTGTAAATTGGAGACCAATCTATTAAAGAGAAATGCCAGCTTTCCAACACCCTGCAAACTCCCCTGAAATTTTTTTTTTAATTAACACTGTAGAGATACCTTTTTTCCTGTAGTCTTCAGGCCAGTCTGGTGATGTCACATGTCCTTCCGCTCTACATTGGTGGGGGTGGGCATTGCTTTCTCCTGGACTGAGTGACTCTGTATGATGTTTCAGTTATCTAAGGATAAAGAACAAAGCATGTTTTGAAAGTTTGTGGTTAAACAGGTTAAACTTTCCTTAAGGTCAATCAAAAACCCAGGACCATCAAACAGAAGGAAGAAACATGGAGTAATTTATTAATCCTGTATGTGCCTGTGGTGTCAGAAAAAAAGTAGAATTTGTAAATTAAATATTGCATCCCTGTGTTTTTCCAAGCCAAGCATAAACCCATAAGCATGTACATCCAAAAACCCAACACTCACTCACACACGAGAAAAATAACTTTGTATATGCGTTCCAGTGTAGTGAGTAATGCAAAAACCTGTACATTGAAGATACAAAAAAACATCTCAAACAAACAAATGGCCGCAAACATTAGTCTTCCTATTTACAGATACCACAAATTACATCTGCAGTATTTTTTTTTCTTACAGTGTCCCTTTAACCCTTGAAACCTGCACTAGGTATTGTGACATGGAGTAAGGTATGCCTGGAATGGTATTTTATTTTAGAGGTGCACCCGCACCTTTTTCTTCCTTTTAGTATGGAATAAACTATTATATTTTTATAATTTTTTTTTAATTCTATTTATATAATTTTATTATTACAAATATTTTATTGTTCTTCATTTTATTGTGGAAGAATATGTCATCTGCATTGTACATGGGTAACAGTGATCTGTGATGACCATGAAAAATCATTGGTTGATAGTGGGGAATCAATATTTCTATAGGATACTTTTTCATTAAACTTTCTCCTTTTTTTTTTACTGAAAAGCTCCAGAGAGAAATATTGATGAACATGTTTTGTGTTTGCAATACTGGATTTATTTGTAAAGTAGACATTAAAGAACATTTCAGTATATTTATTGCAGTATGAGAATAAATTACACCTTTTCAATGGAAAAAAATATTAAACAATTTCTTAAGGATTAACCAGGTAAACACAGTTTAAAAATATGATCATTCTTTTAACATGTTATCAAAGCAATATTTGCATGAAAATAGTATGCTGCACATCCCTGCAGATTTCACTGAAATCAATGATCCTATGACCCACAGTAATAATCCTATTATGGTAACTATGCTACCACTGCTTTTAAGAAAAAGAACTATTATATTGACTATGTTGTCATGGGGTATAAGATAATTTTTTGTATATTTGTCACAATGCTTATGAATAATAAAGAAACACGACCTGTAAATCCAGAGATCTGGATTTACAGGTTGGACGAATATCCACCTTATATACTTTTATTGACTGACCTGAATTGCAAACTTCCCTACATGCTACTCTGGGAGAAAGATATGAATGTCATGTGTGAATTGGCTGAGTGAAAGGAGATTGCTAATTAGTTGTCTAAAATATCTATAAACACAACTCTATTTGAATCCAACTATAAAACATTGTTATGATGCTGCCTGGTGCCGACAAGAAATGCAAAAATGTCTCCTACGGCCTCTCCAGCCTGCTTTAGACAATGTGGCCAACTTGGCACCATGTACCATATTTGGTGGCAATGTCCCAAAGTATCCACATTTTGAATAATAGTTCTTATTTGCTTGCTGACAGATATAAATGTCCCTAGATCTCCGGAAATGGCCCTATTTCAAAATTCATTTCATGACATTCAAAAAGAGCCAAACGGGTAATTTCCTATATGTTTTCGGCAGCCAGAATAACTATTGCAAAATGTTGAAGACAACCCGTGGTGACACTTGGTTACCTTGAATACAAGCTCAGTTATTATTATTATTATTATATTATTATTAATAATAATATTATTATACAGGATTTATATAGCGCCAAGAGTTTGCACAGTGTTTTACAATGTAAGGGTAAACAGCACAGTTACAATAAAATTGAATACAGGAGGGCCTGCTCATTAAAGCTTACAATCTAAAAGGGGAGGGTCAAGTGAAACAAAAGGTAATAACTGTGGGGGATGAGCAGATGGAAAAAAATACATGTACAGTTGTGAGGTGGAGGCAGGATAGGTTTTTCTGAAGAGAAAAGTTTTCAGGCATTGCCTAAAAGTGGACAGAGTAGGGGATAGTTGGACTGATTGGGGTAGGAAATTCCATGGAATGAGAGGGGCTTGGGAGAAGTCCTGCAGGTGAGCATGGAAGGAGGTGACAAATGAACTAGAGAGCAGGAGGTCTTGGGAGGTGTGTTTTGGT